TTATCCCCCTTAAGACTCTCCTCTCCTGTAGTGCCTACAAAAACTCGACAATGTGTTGACCAGCACTGTCTCGTGGTTTTCTTGTGCTTCCCCATCAGTCTGTATCTGCCTGTTTCTTCTGGTCTTATACATAGATTATTAGCTCGGTGGGGACAAGGTTGTACAGCACCTAGCAAAATGGGGCCCGGTCCATGACAGGGCTCCTAGGTGTTGCAATACCGCTACTGCTACTGATTATCCTTCCAAAACCCTGGCCCGATTTGGGTTTTTTTAGTATGCATTCTTCTAACTCTGTCTAGTCTTGTTACTCCTATCAATGCCTAATGTCCTTTTAATTCTGCTAACCTTCTGGTGTCGATTAAATCTTGTGGCAGTGAGTTCCACCGGCTACTTTTTGATCAGGTTTGAATTTGCCACTTTTCAAACTTGCTGACCATCCCCTTGTGTGTCTGTGTGTCATGACACAGGGTCATATTGGTTTCTGATCAGCTCTTCTCCTAGCACATTCATTATTTTGCCTGCCTCTGCCATGACCCCTCTTAACTGACTGTCTCTTCTTAACTCCTTGCCACACTGCTTCACTGCTAGCTGCAGAGCAAGCCACTGTCAGTACAACTGCCACCTTCATTTCCCATCTCTGACTCCATTCAGGTGCAAACTTTTGGCCAAGGGCAAGTGACGGATCTGGAAAAAGAAGCCGCTCTGGGCTGCGGTGGAAAAATCAGCTTCTGGCCGTGGAGTTGACGTTGGTGTCATTATTAACCATTGATTCTAACCCTTCAAACCCTGCGACTTCCAGATGCCTAGAGTAAAATTGTGCATAAGGGCCGCCATGCCTGCTGTTAAATAATAGTGCTTCAATTAAGGCCCATTTTGCATCTGCTGCAGAAGAGTGCGTTTTGTGCGTCCTCTTGGGAGATGTCTGCTTGGGTTACATCAGACGAACAAGCCTCACGAATCCCCTGTCCCCTCCCCCCGCCTCCTGAACAGAAGCTGCATAATTGCGGCAAACGCCAAAAGCAATTGTGGCGTCGGAGACGGGGGAGGAGAGGCTGGTTTTGTGCGAATTTAGTGCTTTTGAAAGTAGCAGGCCCATCCGCTCGGTATGTGTGTGGAGAGTGGGGGTCGGCAGCCATGGGTAAATGCTGGGCAAGTCTCCTCCACCTCGATATACCTGGATCCAAAGCCCTGATCTAAAAATCCTTCCCTCGCCATTCACAGAATCATAGAATCATAGAACTGAAAGAGACCTCAGAAGGTCGTCAAGTCCAGCCCCCTGCTCTAGGCAGGACCAATTCCAACTAAATCACCCCAGCCAGGGCTTTGTCAAGCCGAGACTTAAACACCTCTAGGGATGGAGACTCCACTACTTCCCTAGGTAACCCATTCCAGTGCTTCACCACCCTCCTAGTAAAATAGCTTTTCCTAATATCCAACCTGGACCTCTCCCACCACAACTTGAGCCCATTGCTCCTTGTTCTGCCATCCGTCAGTACTGAGAACAGCCTCTCTCCATCCTCTTTGGAACCTCCCTTCAGGAAGTTGAAGGCTGCTATCAAATCCCCCCTCACTCTTCGCTTCTGCAGACTAAACAGACCCAAATCCCTCAGTCTCTCCTCATAAGTCATATGCTCCAGCTCCCTAATCATTTTGGTTGCCCTCCGCTGGACCCTCTCCAATGCGTCCACATCCTTTTTGTAGTGGGGGGCCCAGAACTGGACACAATACTCCAGATGTGGCCTCACCAAAGCCGAATAAAGGGGAATAATGACATCTCTGGATCTGCTGGCAATGCTCCTCTTAATGCAACCTAATATGCCATTAGCCTTCTTGGCTACAAGGGCACACTGTTGACTCATATCTAGCTTCTCATCCACTGTAACCCCCAGGTCCTTTTCTGCAGAACTACTACTTAACTGGTCGGTCCTCAGCCTGTAACAATGCTTGGGATTCTTCTGTCCCAAGGGCAGGACTCTACACTTGTCCTTGTTGAACCTCATCAGATTTCTTGTGGCCCAATCCTCCAATTTATCTAAGTCATTCTGGACCCTATCTCTGCCCTTAAGCGTATCTACCTCTCCCCCCAGCTTAGTGTCATCCGCAGACTTGCTGAGGGTGCTGTGTGGAGCCATTCTAGCCGCGAGGTCTCTGCCAGTGCGCCTTGTTCTTAGCCTGGCGCCATGGCCGCTGATCCGGTTCTGAACGCTCACACAGCGCCGTGCCTGCAGCCCCCCTGCTGTTCCAGGCATCCCGTCCGCACATCGGGGCCCTGCCGTCCTTGACACCTGTGTCCTGCGTGGCCCCGATGGCGCAGCTGAGCCGTGTGCGAGGCTGGGGAGGTTCGAGGAGGCGTGCTGGTTCTGCAGCTGTTGAGCATTGAATTGGAGCTAGCTCGAGGAGGTTGCTGCCCTTTAAAGTGGATCGGCAGGGATCAGCCGCCCGGTGCAAATAAAACGTCTGTTTCCCAGCCCACGTGGAGCCTCCTGGCCCATGGGCAGCACCTGTGTGGAGCATCCTTGAGCCAAGCTAAGGCACGTCATCCCCCAGCCCAGCTGGCTGAGGCACGACATCCAGGCACATGCGAGTGCTTGTGAAACTGACCAGATTTTCCCCACAGCTGGCCCACCTCGTAAAAGCTTCCTCCTGCCAAGTGTGCCTGGCCATCGCCTCCCCCCTGGCCCAGACCTGCTTTGTTTTGGGGCTTTTTAAGGTTGTGTGACTTGGTGAGGGGCGGGCGAATTTCAGGCTGTCAGGGGAACGTGTCCCACCTGAAAGGGCAGGAAAAGAATCTCCCAACAGAATCCCCAGCCCGCCACCGGCTTCCTCAAAAGCGACATAGGCTCAGCCACCCCCTGGCACTCCCAAAGCTGGTAAGAAAGAGAAAGAATCTTAGCCCTGACACAGGGAGGCTACTGCCCAAGGGCAGGGCCAGATGAAGGGGGATTCCAACCCTTTTCACTGACTGATGGGGCTGTAGCCCCTGCTGTGAACAGGAGATTCAATTTGCACCCGCGTTGCTTTACCACCCCCCCAAGCAGTGACCGTGTCTCTGCTGCCAAGTGGCATCACCAGGCTGTGCAGCTGTGTCTGGGGCTGAAGCCAGTAGTGATCCTGCTCTTCAGTAAGAAGACTCGGTCGTAGGGCTCCCTGTAGCTGCCCCCTTTGAGGAGTGTCGGCCGCACGTGACTCACTGGGGTGCTTTTCCGGGGATTGCAACCATGGTACCACCTGTGCTTGCCACCTGGGGGGCCAGGGCAGCTCAGAGCAGAGGGGGAGGCAGTAAGCTGCAGGTCAGGATTGAGGTGCGTCGGCTCGTTCTGTTCTGCAGTGCCAGGAAAAAAACAAAACATCTCTATGGGAGAGGGTATTGATTGCACTAACGCTGAGATCCAAACCCTTCTTTCCCCCCACGGGTCCCAGCCAAGCACAGGCTTCCTCTGTAACCGGAAACCTGGTGGGCAAGTCTGGTGAGTGCCAGCCAGGAGGCCTGGAAACAGGACCCGTGTGTGTGTGTCTCTTCTCCTTCCCAAGGTTTAAGAAGATTCCGAGCGGAATTGTTCCTCCTTAATCTCGCCTCCCCCGAAGCCCGTTTAGTCTTTTGTTTCATCCACATGAAGTTAAACTGACAGGCTGTGTCTAGACTGGCAAGTGTTTTTGCAAAAAACTTGCCAGCTGTCTACACTGACCGTTTGAATTTCCACAAGAACACTGACTTCCTGCTTTCTGAAATCAGTGCTTCTTGTGGAAATACTGTGCTGCTCCCGTTCGGGCAAAAGTTCTTTTGCGCAAAGCTTTTGTGCAAAAGGGCCAGTGTAGACAGCTCAGATTTGTTTTGTGCAAAAAAGCCCTGATGGCGAAAATGGTGATCGGGGCTTTTTTGCAGAAAAGCGCATCTAGATTGGCCACGGACGCTTTTCCGCAAAAAGTGCTTTTGTGGAAAAGCGTCCGTGCCAATCTAGACGCTCTTTTTCGCAAATGCTTTTAATGGAAAACTTTTCCATTAAAAGCATTTGTGGAAAATCATGCCAGTCTAGACGTAGCCATTCTGTTTTAGGGCACAGAGAGATTGAGGGAGAGGCCGGGGCTCAGCCCTGCTCGCTGGAGGGGGCAGAGAGGCCACTTGTCCGCAGTTGCCATTGAGGAGCGAAGGGGAAGAGGCGGGCCTGCATGAGCCATGGACCTGCAGTGCCTTTCCCAGATGATGGTGCTGTGCAGCCCAGCCCCTCCGCACCTGCTGCCCCTCCCCACCTCTGCAGCTGCCCCTCTTTCCAGTTTGTCACCAGGCAGAGAGCACCTGCCAGGCAGGTGGCTTCTGCCCTAATTGCAGAACCACCACATGCAAATTGCAGAGGGCAGGAGAGGAGAAACCTCTTCCCATCCCCGCCCACATGAGGCCAGCCAGAGCCTGGCCGACGCACTTTGTGCACATTGGGTGTACACCAGGCCCTCGCGTCTGCTGCATGCAGCCTGGAGTTGCTGCTGCAGGTCGTGCTTCCTCTGAGCTCCATGCGGGAGAAGATTGCTTTGGGTAGGGTGCAATGCGTGACCCATGCAGCCCTGATCTGCCCTGCCTGGTCTGGCACCATCTGTCTTCAAAGCAGCATTTCAATTCCCTCCCCCTCCCCCCCGACAAAGTTTTTAGAGTCTCCTTTATTTCAGTCAGTGCTGTTTCTCTTACTTCAGGACTGTGACATTTGCCCACATGGCCTGTGAAATTGCTCGTCTTTTGCAGACATTTCCAGCCAGCGGAGCTCTCTGCGGCTTCGCTCCCCGTATCGCTGACTGTTTGCAGGTTCAGCATAGTTCCCCCGGCATCTGGGCCCGGTAGGAAGCTATCGTATCGCTGCAGCTCTGGAGATTAGGGAGGCCCCTTTACATCAGTTTAAACTTACGTCTTTGCATTGATTCACCTGCCTGCATGGAATTGACTGGTGATGTCTGGGGCTGTGGGGCCCTGGTTTGAGAGAATTTTAAAAACGGATCTTTGTTTCTTTTTCTAGGGGACTGCAGTTCTGGGAGCTAGAATTCAAGAGCAGATCTTTCCTCTACAGGCAGGTACGGTGCAGTGGTATTCAGCTCTATCCGCCGTCAGCCCCTTCCACCCAAGGATCTCAAAGCACTTGACAAGCACTAAGCAAACTTCGCTACACCCTTGGGGGGGAGGGGTTCTTCCCTCTTTTACAGATGGGGAAACTGAGGCAAGGAGGTGCAGTGAATCCATAGCCGTCGGGACTAGAACCCAGATGTTGTTATTTCAGCATTAGGCCAGTAGAACCGGAATCTCTACATTTGCTTCTGAAATGACTGAAGGCAGGAGTTCTCATTTTCTCCAAGCTGCCCTGTCTTAGCCCTGCAGTGTGAGTGGTTGCCTCCAATAGCCAGGCCAGTGGTGGGCAACCGGTGACCCTGGGGCTGCCCACAGCCCATCGGGGTTCTGTGTGTGGCCCACAAGACATTTTGTTTACCGTTGCCCACGGGCAGGGTTGCCAGATTCTGCTGGTTCCGTCCATGTAGGTTTTTTTCCTGCCTGTATGACTAACGTGACACGCGTGTAAATCCAGGACACGGGAAGTGAGGTGCGTGCTGATTGCACACAGCATTGACTGAGAGCCGGGCGCTCCCTCTGCAGCCAATCAAAGCGCTGCGATGGCTCAGTTGGCCCAATTCGCAAATTCTAGGTACGCCAGCGCAGTGAGCAAAACTCCCCTCTCCGGGAGACGGTCCTGGTTCTGACAATCTTGCGGGCCACTCCTGCGGGCCACTAGCCTGGGTTGCCCCTCGCTGAGCCAGGCAATCGCACACCTTGTTATGGTGCTTAAAGAGGTCAGTCTGGATTTTCACTTGTGTTTTGGATCATGCACTGCGGCACAGGACTATACAAAGGAAAAGCTCTGGTGTACCAGGTAGGTTCTTTCCCAGAGAGATTATTCTCTGCTGCAGGGTTGTTCCCTCCTCTGCCCTGTCCTCTAGCTTTGTCCTGGCTTCTTTGAAATGACTCAGGAGTGGGGTTTTCAACACCCTACCCTCTCATCCCCCCTAGGACTCCGCACTTTAATGGGGCTCGTTGTTAGGAAAAGGTTGGTTTGGTGGGGCTCATCCTGGCCATAGCCAGGGGCCAGGGGGTCTATTTCGCGGGAGCAATAAGTGGCTGTTTTGGATGCCGTTCCAGCAGACCGGCTTCATTTTCACCCTGGGTGGAGCAGCTTCGCCTGCCAGCCAGCGGGTCGAAAGGGGGTGGGAGGGATTTCTTCCCGCCCATTCCGTGTTCCTGGGAAGGGCTATTCAGAGAGAGATTCTGCTTCCCCCATGCTCCCTCACAACCCAGCTCTATCTAATGCAGCCTGCCACGCCAGCCTGCCCCAGCCCTGCAGAAACCCCACTCAGCTCGGTACCCGGTGCTGCGGCCCACGCCAGCTGCATTTGGCAAGGTGTGTCTTTGAGGCAGGCAGACCTGAAACACAGTGAGAGTCACAGCAGGCAGCGACCTCTAGTGGGGAAAATGTAAAATGGTGTGTGTCTGGAAGGGGCCTTTCTTCACTCAGGGTATGTCTACACCATAGAGTTTTGTCGGAAAAACGGCCATTTTTCCGACCAAACCTGAGTTACGTCCACACTGCAATCGAAAGTAAATCGAAAGAACAGAGGGGTTTTTCCGGCGTTGGTAATCCTCTTTCTACGAGGAAGAAGCCTTTTTCTGAAAGAGCTCCTTTGGAAAAAGGCATGTATGGATGGGGAAGAGGGAGTTCTTTTGGAAGAAGAGAAAAGAGGAAAAAGCACAGGTGCCCTGGTGGCCACTCCATCCGTAGTAATCACCAGGGCTCGACAAATAATGTAATCTACTTGCCCATGGCGAGTAGATTACAACCTGTAAGAGCCGGTGCAGAGAGATCTGCACATATGCAGAACGCAGAACGGCACGGCTGGCGAGCCCTGGTAATCACAGATTATTTGTGAGAGCGCGTCCATTCAGTGTAGACTCTATCTTTCAAAAAAGCAGATCACTTTTTCGATGTGCGTTTGTGTGTGGACGCTCTCTTTCAGAAGACGTTTTTTCAAAAGCTCTCTTCTGAAAAAAGGTTCTTCCAAAAGAAGCCTGCAGTCTAGACATATCCTCACACCTGGCTTGTTTTGTCCCTGCTGAAATGTCAGAGCTTAGCAAATAGACAGGGAGGTGACCGAGCTGGGTTTGCCCAGGGCAGATCCATAAAACTTATCAGTGACCTGTTTGCCTTTTGAATCTTCAAGATTGATGGGCTAACTGCCTTGGAAGGGGCAGGCTTGATTGGATTAGTGAGAAAGTGGTGGTGCTTTGTCTTCATATAAATAACTCCTTGCTTGCTTGACCTGTGTGTGGGTTTAACGAGGACAAACCTGATTAGTTGCTCAAGGGATTTCAGTTCACCCCACTGGAAAGGCAACCTCCTGGATAATTGTTTCCTGCTCTACATTTATAGGGTTGCACTTAGCTCTCTGTGGGGGGTCACTTTGCATTTGTTTCTTCATTTTTTTTATAGACACAAACTGTCTAATACAACAAATAGAAACATAACTCAGATGTTAACCCTACCCTTCCGGTCTGTGTGGGCATAACCAATTGCACATAGTGGACTTGTGTTTGCACGACAGCTGTTTGCACAAGTAAGCGTGTCAGCCGGGTTTGACCTGATTCCCTCATACAGACTCCATCCGCGTTCAGGCGTTGCTGATAAAATCAGCTGGGTGGCCAAAATCAGAGGTGGGACGGGAGCCGGATACGAGAGCGACCCCGCCAGGAGGTGATGAGAGTTACAAGTTCAACCCACAAGCAAGTGCTGCGTCAGTAGCATGTTACCGGGTCCAACTCCAAATGTCAATGTGACTCCCCATCCCCACAATGTGTGACACGCAGGCAGAAAACTAGATCTGGTGTCTCCCCAGAACCTGCACGGTCACTTCCCACTCAGGGCCAGGGAGACTGACAATCACAAAGCTCCAGCAGCGTTGAGGAGGGATGGCTGGTCACTGCCAGGATGTTGCACCAGGAGCTGCTGTGCATTAGGTTAGTCCCAGTGCCTGCCCACTGGCTGTCACGCCTGGCCCTCCCGCTCTGCTCCCTGCCACCCCAGAGGTAGCTGCATTGCAGATCGCAGGGCTGCTGGCTGGGCGGGCATAGATAGGAGGAGCATTTTGTGATGCAAACTGCTAGAGAAATTGGAGTTGTATCGCTTGTATCAGGAGATCCCTCCTTTTTAGATGACTTGCAAATGTGGAAATAAAACTGTCACCCCCCCCAACCCATTTTATTTCTTTAGCATCTTTAAAGGTGCCACCCAATCATGAAACCAGAAATCTCAGGCATATGGAGTCTGGTTTTGCTGGAGAAGTCGAAACCCTGAGTTGGGACTGCCTTTCCCGTGGGCAGGAAAACAAGGGATGCAGTCCCAATCACTTCCCACTGAACCTTCTCTCCTGCTGTTTGCTCCTGTTAGGAGCTGGCCACCCAGGTTTGGAACCCGCTCCGTTGCTTCCCTCTGTATTTTCCTGAGGATCACCAAGCCCTTTGCACACTAAACTTCTCACAGGCAAGTTGACTTGTCTACACCATGCAGTCATCAGGACCCAGACCTCCTGACTGCTCTTCCCCAGCTCTGGAGCTCCTGGCTGCTCTAACCACTAGGAATTCTAACCGCTAGACAATCTCTTTCCCATGAGGCTGCAGTCAGGATGAAACACTTTTAAGTCCCACCACAAGCCCTGCTGGCAATACACTACTAGGGGCAGTGCTGTCTGGCAAAGGCACAGCGCACACATGAAGTATGCCAGTGGCAAGGAGATTAGAGCTAGGAGTCTAGTTTCAGAATAAGTTCATCAGTATACTGGGGGGAGAAGGGCTTGGGAGATGATCGTGCAGCCTAGCTAGCAAACTCAGCCTTGCTCAGTCGGTGCTGCAGAAGTCCCAGCTCAGAGGCTGCCAGACTCTAGTTCTGGAAGCACTGTCCGGAGAAAGGAGCTTTCATCAGCCCTGCTCAGAAGGGAGGTGCTGAGTTTTTTCTTGGCTCTGTTGGCAAGAGGGAAAGGTCAGGCTGTGGGCAGCCCCTGAAGATGATGTTCAGAAAGTGCTGGTGTCTTTTGTTGCTGCAGCAGGGTGTACTGCAGAAAGGGCAGGGCTTTGTGGTTTTGTTTTGCCTTTTTTTTTACAGTGGCAGTTCAGCTGTCTGCACTGCTTTTCCTGGAAGATACTATGGCTGACTGGAGAGCTGGTGGGATTATGGGATCTTAACTCAAGAAAGCGTAACCAGAGTAAATAAGAAGAGGGATCTTTGTAGATAAGATGTGATCAGCACTCCTAGGCATTGCCACAGTTCAAATACTCAATAATCATAACCCCCTTTTAACTCAAGTGCCTTCCAAACAGCTGGGAGAAAAGACCTTTTTGTTAAGGTTTAATCATCCTCCTGCCCCTCCAATTAAGGGCTGAAGAAGTCCCAACTCAGGGTTTTTGGCTTCTTCAGCAAAAACAGATTTGAGTTGCCTGATACGTCTGTTTTTCATTAGTGGGACATAAAGACAGCGAGTGGGCAGGCACAGAGCTAACCCCGCTCTCATGAAAGAGAGAGGGTCTTTAATAGCCAGCCAGGATCTTGGTTTTCAAGGGTTTGTACAAAAATCCGGCACACGCTTAGCAACCTGCAATTGAGTTGCTGCATGAAACCTCAGTTCATCCTGCTCTGATTCTGGATGGTGAAGGGAGACAAGATATTTAAACTCTTCTGCTAAGACAGCTCGGCCTTTGCCTTGGGCTGTAACAGGGAGAGAGCAGAGACTGTAGCCAGCGCAGAAGGCAATGAGAGGCAGCTTTTCGTAGCATGGATCCTGGAATCAGCCTCCCGTTGAGTCATGCGGGGGAAGGCGGTGGGGGAGCTGGGGAGGCAGCAGCTACATGACAGATGACAGGCTGTCAAGAATAGAAAAGGGAAGAAGTAACTTTTTAGTGTCCTTTTTGCATAACACGGAAATGTGTGCTCCTAGCGGCCGAATGGTGCAGCCCAGTGGTCCCTGATGGTTCGCTCCCTTGAGCGGCATGAATTTTACTTATGCGCACCTGCATGGAGGCAATGCTCACCACGGAGCGGACACACGACGCAGCACCTTCATATGGTCGCAGACATGGCCCAGGACCCCGGCGTGTACGAAGGGAAGATAAAGATGGCCCTGCCCCCAAAAAGCTCTGTTATCTCGCGACCGCGGATCCTGTAGGCAGCTGTCGTTCCTACAAGGTGTGGGAATGGTTAGCCGTTAACCAGCAAACATCACCTTTGCCGGGTGATGCTTCACCGGTTATAGTTTACCGGTGGACTGGAGCAGTCCCCGGTCTACTGTGGGCGGGGGGCTGCTCCAGCCCTCTGAGAGAAGGGGGCATGCAGCCCTCATCCATGGCGGGCCCAGCACACCCTGACAGGGGCGCTCCAGTGCAGCTGAGCAGTCCCTGTCCATGGCGGAGGTGAGGGGGGCTCTCCAGCCCGCCCTCCCCTGTTTGCACAGTTAACCAGGATTTTACAACCCTAGTTGCTACGCACACCCTGGCTGCTCTCCCTTTCCATGTCAGCTCCCTTTCCGTGAAGGAACTGTCAGGCTGTGGCCACTCGCAGTTAAACAGCGGCTGCAAGCGGACACTGGCTTCTGCTGCCCCGGCCTGAGTGCCTGGCCTGTCTGCGGAGAAGGAGGCTGCCGGCTTTGCAACAGGAGATGGGCATCATGGGAGCCGGAGGCCCCGGCGGATGCAAGTTCCAGTGGTGGTGCTGGAGGCAGAGCCAGAGCGGGATGCGAGAGCAGAACAGGGTCGTCAGCAGGCAGATTGGTCCAAACCCCGGCTGCCGGCTGCTTTTCAATGATCCCAGGAGTCCCGGGTGACACTAAATGAGCAAATACATATCTAGTGTGATGTTAGATTGTTGTTTTCTCTGGGGTTTGGACCTTGACTCTGCCTAAACCAAGAAATTTGGACCTTGATAAAAAATTATTTCCTACCCCAGCCTAGAAGATGCTCAGGTGAGGGGCATGTCAAGAGGACGGATGTGAGGGTCACATTTTCCATGTAGCACTGTCATCCTCCCAGCCTGGGCAAACTCACTGAGTGGCAGGAGCGGGGGGAGTGTTTGATATTTCAAACATCTCCTCTGAGCTGCAGCAAATTGCTGGCTGCAGGGGCCATTTCCTCCTCTTCTGACTCACTTGGTTTTTGGCTTTTGAAGAGAGAAACAGGCTCCCGAGTCACCCCCGCCTGGAAACAACGGGGGTTGCGTAACTGGAGTGTGAAAGCCCAGCTCTGTCGCGTGCTCGTTAGTTTCCTGCTGCAGAGGGATGTGTGGGCGCGGCTGCACCTCGCCTCCGCTCAGCTCTCCGCCCATGCACGCTCGCCAGACTGAGGCACGCTGCAAAGGGAGGGAACACAGGGGGCCTGGGAATTTCGCCGGTAGTTCACCCCCTTCCTCCCCTGGCCACTAGAGGTCACTGTGGGTGGCTGCCGCCGCCGCACCGCCGCTGCACAAGCAGGATGGACACATGGAGCAGCAAATCAGAGCAGAGCTGCTCCCTGCCCGCCCCCTCCGCCATCACTGCAGTGCAGTGTCCTGCCCCCTGCAGGCTGGAGATGGGAGGGCAGCTGCTGGAGCTCAGCAGGGGATAGTGGGAGCAGGGGCCAGGTGTGAGGGAGGGCGTCATACAGGTGGGCTCCCAGGGGCTGTCTACACTGCAGCGTAAGCCCAGGGTTTGCCTTCAGCCCCTCGTCTGTCCACACACGCTGCTCAGGCCCAGGACCCCATGGGAGCTGGGGCTCCACGCCTGGATTGCAGCCCTATTGCTTTGCAGTGTAGACTCCAGACTCATGCACGGTCCCATGGGACAGTCGAGTTTGGTGACCAGTTGTTTTGCCGCCGGATCCCCTGGACAAAGGGGCTGGAGCAGCTATGTGCTGGGAGGGTACTAGGAAGTCTGGGCTGGGTATGGTTGAACTTGGGCCTGATGGTGGTGCCCTGGTTTCAACGATTCCTAACCCAGGGACACTCAAGCTCTCAGAGAACAAACCCAGGGCCTGTGGACTCCAGGTCTCCTAACCCCACAGACAGACCCGGTGAGCGAAAAGAGCACAGCCAGAGGGGGTGTGGGGCTCCAGGCTGCAACGTCCAGTCCAGCCCAGGTGTGTATGGACAGAGTCAGGGCTCTTTGCGGTGAGGGGGTCTCACAGCCTGGGGTTGTCTACACAGCCCTAGCGCGCTCACGGCTGAGCCTAACCGCTGACTCGGGCTTGGCTGTGGGGCTGCAAAGCTGCAGTGTGGATGTTCGGACTCAGGCGGGGAGCCTGGGCCCTGAGACCCCATGATGGGGAATGGGGGAGGGCCCCAGACCTGGGCTCTTGCTCGAGCCTGATCGTCTCCACTCCAGTTTTACAGCTTCCTGAGCCCAAGTCAGCTGACATTGGCCGGTGCAGACAAACCCAGCGAGTCCATGTCAGGAATGAGTCCCTGGAATTGGCATCTCGGTAAAGAAACCAAGCATAGACGGGAGCTTGGAATCCCTCTCCAAGGGCCTGAGCCCTCTTAGTGCCCACTGCACCCCTCACTCCAGTGCCCTTTGGGTCCGGACAGAGGCACGGCCTTAGCTGAGGAGGGAAGCGTGTGCTTAGTCCTGTGCTGTATGCTGGGTATCCAGCTCCAGGCACTAAGAGCTGCCAATCCCTTTATGACGTGACCTTCCCCAGCTGCCTTGGCAGGGAGATGCCACAGACACCGTTGGCGCAAAAAATACCCGCAGAAGCCGCAGAGACACAACATGTCCTGATCTTCCTCTGAGCTCCAGGCTTACGTTACTGGTTGGCAGTGTTGGGATGTCTTCGCAACCTGACTTGCCAGTATGACCTGCAGGGCTGGGCCCGTCCCTCCATATGTTGATTCCCTGGCCCTAGTCGTTACAGGACGTTACATGCCCCTGGGCCTTGCTAGTTTACCTCAGGTGCAGGGCAGAGGGTTTTCACAGTATTTCTAAACCGGATTCTCTGTTGTTTCAGGTACGCAGGATGGTAGGGGCTCTGGTAGCAGTTGGCCGAGGCAGGCTCGCCCCATACCACATAAAGGAACTATTAGAGATTAGAGACCCATTGGCTTATCCACTAAGCACCATGGCTCCGGCAGCTGGACTCTTCCTAAAATCTGTGGAGTATGCCGAAGCTGGTGAGTGAACCTACGGGGTGCCGGTAAAAGGGGACACCGAGCATCGCAAGACTCCTTCACAAGCATCAGATCCGCCTCTGAAGGCAGCAGGGACCTTTGCCATTAAACACCTCACAGGCCATTTACAGCCACTTTCCAGCAAGTGTCCACTTCATAATGGCCATTCACTGCAAAGCCACGTCGTTGATGGCTCTCTTTCCTGCTCCATTTCCTCCTTTGGTAAAACGTTCATAATAATGTTGGCAAAGGGTTTTGAGGTCCCTGGAGGAAAGATGCCGTATCAGTACAAATGAACTAATGAAGCTTTCTTATACCCACATAGTATGGTCATTTTGATGGTGAGATTGAGGCCCAAGGAGGTATAGCAAGTTGCTTATGGTTACAGACCAACTCTGTGGCCAACCAAAGACTAGAACCTAATAACTTTGATACCTGGTCCCCTGCCTAACTACCTGGCTCCTTCCCTCCCAGAAAAAGGAACAGAACCCAGTGTTCTAGACCTAGGTCTTGTCTATAATTTCCAGACGACCGATGCTCCAGTTTCATTCCGATTTCGTTCCAGGTTTGATTTAGCAGGTCTAGTAAAGGCCTGCTAAATCAAATGCTGAAGGCACTCATGTCCATGCTACTCCTTGCAGTCATGAGGAATAAGGGAAGTTGACGGGAGAGTTTCTCCCCTCAACCTTCTGCTGTGGGGCCGCCCCAGAAAATCGATGTAAGGTACGTCGACTCCAACTATGCAGTTGTCATAGCTGGAATTGCATATCTTACCTCAATTTTCTCCGCCAGTGTAGAACAAACCCCAGGCTCTTGCACTGATGAGTGGATCTGCTTCACTCTTCAGATCCTTAATAGTGGATGGAGAAGGTTGGGGGGTGCTTGCATCGTCATTTCCACTTCTCACTGGGCTGTTACGACAGAGAACCTATCATCATAAGGCCCGTTACCTCGCTTGCCCAGAACACAGGTGGTCCGTGTGATCATAGCTTGTTATTTCAAGTGCTGCTTGATGAAGTTAAAAATAAAATCAATCTCTCTCTTGTAAGAGTATAAATAAATACAGGACGAAATTCATATCCCCTGTCAGAAGGGAGGAGCATTCGTGTTTTGAACAATAAAAGTCATTTTATTGCCAGCAAAATGTGACACCATGACATCTTGCAGGGGCAAAGAATATTGTGTTTCTAAATCAAATGCAGCCTCTGTGTTAGTGGCTCATTAAAGGGAACAAATGAAATCCTTGCTGTAACCACACTTACAGGTTGAACCTCACTAGTTCCGCATCCTTGGGACCTGACTGGTGCTGAACCAGAGAACTTACCGAACCATGGGAGGTCGATATTGTCTAGCAGCTTCCACACTTCCGCTGCTTCCTGGGCTCTTAGTGTTCTGTGCTGTTATTTAGCGCTAATTTACCCCTAAAGGTCTGCTGAGAGCCAGGACTGGCAGCTATAAACAAACTTTATGAGACCATAGGAAATGTGGCGACACGCATGATACGTGAACATCTGGCTAACTAAAATCCTGCTGGATTACAGATGTTGCCAGACCAGAGAGTGCCGGACTAGAGAGGTTCAACCTGTACTTGCTTCTGACAAGCTCAGTGCTAAGCTCTAAGAGAGAAGGATTTTGCGCCACCGCTCTGACAGCTACAGTAACACAGTACCTAGTGGAGCTACTTCCTCGATAGCTCTCACAGCCCTTTACAAAGGTGTGTGTTATTGTCCAGGCTTTGTCGCTGGGGAAACTGAGGCACGGCGCAGCAAACCCAAATTTGCCCATGGTCCCATAGGAGCCATGGCAGATGCCTGGATTAGAACTCAAGGGTCCTGACAGCTGCACAGCACTGGGCCAGGTCACCATTGAGGGCACAAATGATGATGGGGCGTGGGAGTATGGGGAAGCTTTTGTAACTGGTGAGCTTCCTGGGTAGCAAGAGGCCTTCGGCCTCCAGAGCTGTCCCTAGGCACAGGGCAGCGGCAGTAAATAGAGGGGTGGGGAACCTGTTTGGGGGCAGAGGCCGCTGATCCACAGAAAAATCAGGTGGGGAGGGGGGGGGTTGCACACAAGTGAGGAAAAACCCCCCTTCACGGTCCTGGCTCCCGACTGAGGAGGAGAAAGACTCTCCCCATGTTCCCTCACACGCCAGAGCCTGGGGGAGTGGGGCAGGCTAGTAGATTTTGTGTGCTCCAGCCCTCAGACTCCCCAATGTTCAGGGTGGAGAGCCCTGAGCCTTGGGGGCCAGATCCAGGCAAACCAGGGGCCGAATGTAGCCCCCCCCCCAGGCCTTAAATTCCCCACCCCTGAAATAAATGAAAATAAATTCCCTTCTTGCAATGGGCTTGCAGTGGAGGGCGCCCCTTCTTCTGGTACTTGGTAGGGCTCCCGTGTCCCTGGAATGGCCTCCCCATGAGCCACTGACCCTCGCTTCAGCTCGCTGTAGATGCTTCCTCTCCGCTTTAGCCAGGGATTCACTCAGTTCGAACTTAGGGGCCTTAACAAACACCGACCTTCCCTCTCAGCTAGCGCCACTGGGCCTTCCTGGGCTCGCTCCATTGCAGCCAGGCCTTGCTAAACCTGTCCAGGCTCCCCTGGCCTCTGGTAAACTGGCGTTACGTTTCCTCCCCCACCACACGAGACGAGGGCCTCCTTTGATTTTTCTTGGCGGTACAAGAGCAAGATTTAGGGAACAAAAAAAGCAGGGAAACAAAAGCGCAATGCAGCCAGCATGGAGACACAGCAGAGCTCTTGGGCAGGCCTTGAAAGTGCTGCGGCTTGTCGTTTTTGGCAGAACTTCGTGCCCCACCCCCCCCCCCCCCCCCCCAAGCCATCTGCCCGTGTTTATGGGGACGGAGCCCAGGCAGGAAATGAAGAAACATAGAAACTTAAGTGCTTTCAGGTGGGCCTGAGGTTTTCTTTCTTTCCACATCAATGTTTTTCCCTCTTTTTCCTCACAGATGTGGAGACGGAAGATAACGCAGCAAAATAGCGGCTCTGTGAGACGTGCAGCCATGGCTGAAAGAACTTGGGAGGGGAGGGGTCTGCAGTGGAAATTTCCAGAACTCTCATGAAGAAACATAGAAACTTAAGTGCTTTCAGGTGGGCCTGAGGTTTTCTTTCTTTCCACATCAATGTTTTTCCCTCTTTTTCCTCACAGATGTGGAGACGGAAGATAACGCAGCAAAATAGCGGCTCTGTGAGACGTGCAGCCATGGCTGAAAGAACTTGGGAGGGGAGGGGTCTGCAGTGGAAATTTCCAGAACTCTCTGTATGGCTGGGGCTCAGTCAACCTCATTCATTGTGGCTGGAGGCATCTCCACATCATTTGGCCACGGGCTGCCCAGGTGGCAGGAGCGGTAACTAGGCAACAGACAACTGGCTGGTTTGTCGATTCTGTGCTACTTGGGGCAATGCACAGGCGCCACACCTGCATAAACATGCAGGGAAGGGAACTGTGGGTGTGGAGGGGGGGGGCGTCTCTTCCCCAAGACCTAGACCCAAAATGGGATCAGACCACAGTAGGCAAATCTCTTATCTCCCCTCTTCTGTGTAAGCTCTGTTGTTTTGCAGTTTAGCACGAGAGAGAGTCATTTCTGTACGTACCATTAAGGCTGCGCTTGAATTATGGGACAGTTGTCAACGACTTGCCGCTGAGATGTGGATAAGGGTGGCAAAACATCGCGGCAAAGCAGTAATGGACCTTTGTGATCGTTTGGAAAAGCCAGCAAAGACGTAGTTGTTTACGGAAAAAAAAGCCCCGGCCAGAATAAAGAGACACATACGCCAGTAGTCCTTTATGCTGGCTAATATATTTGCTAGCCAGACCGTTTGCTGTAACTGTGTAATGGTTATTCATGCGTGGGGCTGACAATGGGATCCCCAGTCGCCCAGGGCTAACCGTGGACCTGCCCCGCTGCCAACCGCTGTGGGCTCCCCCTGTCCCTCTGCCAACTGCCCAGCTGACAAAATGGTCATAGAAGCCTCGTTCGTTGATGCAACTCAGTAGGCAAATCAGACTCCAGTTTGCTCTTGGATCACTTGTGCTGGTGCGGCAGATGGGTGATGCACTTATCAGCGCATAAACCGCCCATTCAGCAAGGTAGCTTTTTTAAAAAATGAACTCAGCTCATTTTTGTGACACTTAAGCCTCAAGTTTTGCCCATTTAGGAGTATGCTCAGCATCATATTGCATACTGCCTCATGGATGGCACCAAAACACCAGTGTGCAACGCTGTTAGCAAAGGCCCAGGTACTGTTAGAGAACCTGGCACCTGATTTTTTTTTCCAGTAGTGCTGTGCATTGATGTCACATGGGCGCTAAAAATCTGTGCTTGAGGCTAACCTGGTTTGCTGGGCTTGTTACGCAACAGCTCCTCTTTGTGGCAAAAGCCTTCTGCAGCGTGACTGAAACAGACACGCGCAACTTCTAACAGCCTCGTGCACCTGCCTTTTGCTTTACCTCTTTTAACGTTGGGTGGTATCTCACTGCTCGGCCTGATCTGTGACAAACCTATGTGCCTTGTGGCTTGCTGAAAGGCAAGCAACCGTATCGCCCAGTTAAACACTAGTACTTGTCTGGGCCCTCTTAAAAACATCTGGCTTAGTGCACACTAAGGTGCCCGATGTCAATGTTATTAATTAGCCCCCCCCTCCCCCTCCATGCACCCATGTTGCAATTATTAAGGTAGATCCATGCAACTGGCCGGAAAGAGGGTCAGATTGTCCACGGTTTACCCCCACCTGCCTTTGAGTTTGGGTGACTTGGCAAGGTTATCTGGGTAATTATTTCCCAGCCATTGTGGCAACTTTGGGCAGAGGCGCCTCTTTGACCCACCTAGACTTGGCCCATGGCACAAATAGCCGAGGTTCCTGAAGGCTGTAATATTTGGTGGTCTTTTGGTTGCTTTGCAGTGGCAGTGGTGGCGGCAGCTTGTAATAGCAGGAAGTGAAATTAAATTCTAAGGCTGCGTCCAGACTGGCATGATTTTGCACTTTTCCATTAGAAGTATTTGCGCAAAATCATGCCAGTCTAGATGCAGCCTAAGGCTCTGAGACAAGCTGCCTCCTTGTAAGCAGAGCTGGTGTTCAGTCTGCTCCTTAAGGTAAGAAGGTGCTTTTTGTGATAGGTTGGGGGCCGGGGTGTTGGATTGGCTACACAGTGGCCTAAATTAAAAATCCTATTTAATACTCAGCTGCGAGATGTGTGCAATGCGCACAGCTGGGGATGAGAGTTTGGGATGGTGAAATAAAGTATTTCATCCCCTTACTGGTACTCTGGTGGCAAGGTTCTCAGTGGACTCACTCCTCCCACCCACTGAGGAAGTGGTAAGAAGTTGCTGCTGCAGACGCTCCCTTCATGCACACAGGTTGGATCCTACGCTCTTTCTAATCCAGTTGCACAAGGGGGAGTTGGGCACTGCATGCTTAACACAAACTGCTACTGGCACCCTGGAAAATGCCACCCACTCCCTTCCACACAGCTGGGCCGGTTCACCGTGGTATCTCAGTGGGGATGGTGCCCACTGATGTCATATGACTGTTTCATGCATCTACTCCTGCATTAGGGTGCCCCATGTTGTTACCGTGGAGACTGAAGATATTGAAGAACAGTTAAGCGTCCAGCTGTTATGTTATTTTGCACAAGTGACAGGACTCACCTGGGTATCTGATCTCCACATAGAGACAAGCACACAGGCACGCTGACACTGTGGGTCGAATTTAGGCACCTGTTTCCCTAGAAAGGCATTTACCAGTGGCCTAAATCTTGCCACATCTTTGCCATTTCACCTTAGTGGGAAAAGCGTTAATTGAAATACAGATTACAAACCGCAAGTGAAATGAGTCTGATTTAGGCTCAGGCTGAAGTCAAGCATTGCTCCATGGTCCGGTAGCTATGGGTGTTCACTGCTAAGGGGACACCTGGGGGTTGCCTAGTAGCGCAGATGCCTGTTGCAGCTGTGAATGAACATGGGACTGTGCCTTTCGCTCGCAAGTGTACAGAACGACTACCTTTTACTTGCTAGTGCAAAGACTTGCCTGTCACTCGCTAGTGCACAGTACTACCTTTCACGCGCTAGTGCAAAGACTTGCCTTTCACTCGTTAGTGCACAGAAAGCTAGACTTTCACTCGCTAGTAAAATTGAAACATATGTTATTGTAGTTTTACATGACTTACGCTGGGCATGAGGTGAACTGTTCTGCTCACCCGCGGGCCAGTTTCAGGTATAAACTGGAACTTTCAATCTATCGCTTCGCTTCCTGTGGTTTCTCTCTGCAGAGCAAAGTGGGAGGGTTTTGCTGTATACTTTGCAAGGCGACTTGTTTTGGTGCTACCCTTCACAGAGGAGAATTCAGCATCACGCTGCTGCTTTGTGTAGAGTCTTCAGAGGATCCAGTGTGTTGGTCTCATTTTTGAGGGCGCTACGATGGCTTGAGCTGGTAGGTGACTTTTTCTTTTATTTCCCTTGATTTGTTAGATGCCGCCACCTGGCACAGAATGCGGGCGACTGGCCGCTAGTGCTGTTGGGCTCTCCATCAATTCAGCCACAAGTGCAGGCTCTAAAATTACAGCTTTTTTGGGGGTAAAATAGCTGTAATCCCCCCATTCCAACCCACTTCTGCCATCTTGTTTCTCAACATATGGCAAAACTAAAATGTTATGTCCAACATCCGAACCACCCAACTTAACTAGCTAGAGGATCTGGTAGTAGTTGGACAGTGCCACATTCTGAAATTAGTGCCTTGTACGACCACTCCAAAAGTAAAAACATTTAACCAGTGCAACCCTGGGATTAGTGTCTGGATTTCTTTTTAAAGGAAAGTAATGCTTTAATAAAAGCTGGAAAGTCCCTCTCCAAAGTATTAGGCTGAATTAGTTTAGTAACTCCCATGGTAAATGTTTGATAATGACCTACCAGCTTTTTTTTCCTTTAAATCTCTTGTCTTGATGCTAATTCCTTCTAAGTGAATGTATTCTACACAGGATGCTGCACCCTGACATTGGGAATACTTGCACTGCCAGGGATGCTATCAAATCACATTTGACCCAAAATTCAAATGTTGTGAAAACAAACGGTCCTGCAAGTAATGGCAATTTTTCCATTAACAACAATGGAAACTTTTTTACTCCAGCAGACCCGTTTTCGCTTTACCCCTGGGTTTGTGAACCAGAAGCTTTGCCCCGTGGAGAGCTTGACAAGTAAAATGCACAGTGGTGATTTTCATTAGCTGAGTGGAAAGGCAAGAAGTAAAATGGGCACTGATACATGGGGCAGAAAGAATTGGGTTTGTAAGGAAACGTAGAGCTGGTTCTGCAATCTTATTTACTAAAAGACTGGAGGTCTTGAGTTAATAGGTGAGCCGGGAGTAAACAACTTAGCCAGGTACAAACAACTTCTCGCTGTTGTAACCAAACTAACTGGGAGGGGGGTTCTCCTAGCTGAGTGACATAGGGTCAGTCATTTTGCTGCTATCTTTACACTCTCATGCATAGTGCAAATACCTGGATTTATTTCCTTCCTGTGTGTATTAGGATGCTGAATTGCTTGTGCAGAGCCTCTGGTGGAATGTCCTCAGTTATTTCTTCCCGCTCTGATCCTTTTGCCAAAATTAATCCAAAGCAGGTTCACTTTAAGGGAATGAAACATCGAACCCTATGTGAGCACCAAGGGCTGAATTTCATGATTTTTCGAGGCCCCTTCTAGCATACACTTTACTGCTTGCTCCCCTTTCAGGCTGCATCTACACTGCAGGCTTCTTGCACAGGAACTTTTTGCTGAAGAGCTCTTCCGCAAAAAGTTCTTGCACAAAAGTGTGTCCACACTGCCATGTGCTTTTGCACAAGAGAGAATCCACAATGCCATGGACGCTCTTGCGCAAGAAAGCTCTGATGGCCATTCATAGAATGGCCATCAGAGAACCTGTGCTTTTTTCGATCCATCCACACATGCCTTTTCGGGCAAGAGCTTTTGCACAAAAAGGCTTATTCCTCATAGAGGAATAACTCTTGGCCAAAAGCCCTGTCTTCTGACAATCTACTGTACTTTCTTACACAAAAACACACTTGTAGTGTGTACTCCATGGGTTTTTGCACAAGAACTCTGCAGTGTAGACTTAGCCTCAGTAGGGCAAACCAGTAGTAGTCTCCAGTACCCATATAGATGGTGTCTTTAGCACTGCTGTGCAAAACTACTCTCAGCAAATAAGAATATCAGTCTCTGGTTTTATCATGGCAACGTTGGGCAGATAGACTTTGTGCCTTGGCTAAATTCTTACACCAAGCCCGCTTGAGCACTGAGAGTTTGAGTTTTTTCTTTAACTCGAGTGGCTTGAGGTTATCACTTAAGTAAAAATGCCACTTATGGAAAACCACTCTGCACTTTCCAGCGAGGTGAACCTCCGCTTCTTACTGACAGACCCAACTTGCTCTGCCCCTCTTTTCTATTAGTGGGCAGGAAAATTACTATTTCCTTTCCTCCTATTTCCTTTCAGCATATTCAGCAGCCTCTTCAAAACCTCACTGCTCATTTCATTTGCTTGTATCTGCTCCACTCCCACATCACACTGATGTAATGAAACCACCTTGTTTGTGTGCATTAACCAGAAACCTCATTTTAGACCCACCGCTATTTGTTCTTGGTCACCCTCTTTTGTGTTAGGGACAGCGTCACAAAGCTGTTGATGCATGTTTAGCTCCTGCTCTGGTGAAATTCTTTTGCACAGGATCCCAGCCACTTAATTGTTGAGAGTTTTGCCACCATCTGGACTTGCTGTTTTCTCTTTTTTGCCTCTGTCAGTGGGAGGGGAAAAAAAACCCACTTCACCAGGGCAAGCAGCAGGCACTACAGGAACAGCAAGTCTGACACAACAAAGTGAAACTATTTTTCCACTCTCTAATCTATTGTAACAATCTTCTGTGCTTCTTGCAACAAGAAGTGATGAGACATGTGACAGACCGAGACTGCCCCTTTAACGTATAAAGAATAGTGACATTCTACACTCTCCTAGGGCCTGCCAGCACAAGATCTCAAAGCACTTTGCAAACAATGCATTAAACCTCACTCCATTTGGGAGGACGTACCCCCATTGTTTTGGGAGGTTATTTGTACTACGGTAGCAGCTAGCAGCGCCTGCTGACATCCAGGCCTGCTTGTGTTTGGCTCTGTGCAGCTGCTGAATGAGAATAAGCCCCTCCTCTGAAGAAGTTGCAGGCAAAAGCAAAGGGTAGAAAGGTAATAGACCCAGAGAGGTGAAATGATCGGCCCACAATGGAACCCAGATCTGCTAGGCCCAATCCTGCACTCAAATTCTTAGTGACTTTCCTAAATTTGGATGCCTCAGTGCAGAGAACAGGGACTTGACTTTCACTGCTACTGAGCACCTGCAGTCTCATTCAGTTCTGTGGGGGAAGAGGTGTCAGCACCACTTAAAACTGTCCTAAGCTGGGCATCTACAATTAGGGGGCACTTCTGACCATGCTGAGCTGAAATCATGCAGCGCGTTAATGGGAAATAGCCTAGCACTAGCCCTCAGTTCTTAGATTTGGTTCAGGGCATGTATTTAGATTTTGTTCAGGGCATGTATTTTAACTAGAAGACATTCCCCTGCCTGCCATTTAAAATCACTGTAAAGGAGGTTACACAGAGTCAGTTGTCTGGTGAAACAATCCAAGAGTGGTAGCAAACGGCACCCAAATGGTCAGAACACTGGAATAATTGAAGTTCTAATCAGGTGGGGCCACAGACCACTGCTCACTGCAAGGAATCTGCCTGTGCTACATAAACATACAGCACAGCTCTGTCAAGGACAGTCCACTATTTAGCGCTTCAGCACATTATAAGTTACATTGGTGTATCCCCTTTACATAGAATTATAGGACTGGAAGGGACCTTGAGAGGTCATCAAGTCCAGTCCCCTGCCCTCACGGCAGGACCAAGCACTGTTTAGATCATCCCTGGCAGGTGTTTGGCTAACCTGCTCTTACAACTCTCCAATGATTGAGATTGCCACAACCTCCCTAGGCAATTTATTCCAGTATTTAATCACCCTGACAAAGTTTTTCCTGTTGTCTAACCTAAACCTCTCTTGCTGCAATTTAAGCCCATTGCTTCTTGTCCTTTCCTCAGACTTGAGAATATTTTTTTTTCTCTCCTCCTTGTAACAGCCTTTTAGATGCTTGAAAACTGCTATCATGTTCCCTCTCAGTTTTCTCTTTTCCAGATTGAAATAATTGGGTTTGTTTAATCTTCCTGCATAGGTCATGTCTTCTAGCTCTTCAGTCATTCTTGTTGTTCTTCTCTGGACCCTCTATCAACTTCTCCACATCTTTTGTGAAATATGGCACTTAGAACAGTCCAATAATTCTCAACTGGAGTAATCAGCACAGACTAGAGGAGAAGAATTACTTCTTGTATCTTGCTTACACCACTCCTGCTAATACATCCCAGAAAATTTGCCTTTTTTTTTTTGGCAAGTGTCATGCTGTTGACTCATTAGCTTGTGGTCCACTGATTCCTAGATCCCTTTCCACAATACTCCTTCCCGGGCAGTCACTTTGTATGTGTGCAACAGAATGTTCCATCGTAAGTAGTGCACTTTGCATTTATTTCATCCTATTTACTGCCTACTCTTTCACCAATTTGTCTAGATCAATTTGAATTCTAACCCTATCCACCAAAGCGCTTGCAGTCCCCTCCCCTCCTAGTATCAGCTGCAAACTTCATAAGCATATACTCTATGCCATTGTCTAAATAATTAATGAAGATTTGAACAGAACCAGTTCCAGACTGAATAATGTACACCACCACTCATGTCCTGCCAGCATGAATCTGAACCCTTTGGCTGTGTCTACACTGGCCACTTATTCTGGAAAATCAGGCGCTTTTCCGGAATAACTTGCCAGCGGTCTACACTGGCCCCTTGAATTTCCGGAAAAGCACTGACGATCTACTGTAAAATCATCAGTGTTTTTCCAGAAAAGCTACGCTGCTCCCATTCGGGCAAAAGTCCTTTTCCGGAAAACGGCCAGTGTAGACAGCACAGATTTCTTTTCCGCAAAAAAGCCCCGATCGCGAAAATGACAATCGGGGCTTTTTTGCAGAAAAACGCGTCTACATTGGCACGGACACTTTTCCGGAAAAAGTGTTTTTCCGGAAAAGCATCCTGCCACTGTAGACATGCTTTTTCCAGAAATACTTATAATGGAAAACTGTTCCGTTTTAAGCATTTCTGGAAAAGGGTGCCAGTGTAGACGTAGCCTTTATAACTATTCTCTGGGAACAGTTATCCAACCAGTTATTCACCCCTTAGCCCGCTCTACATTGTATTTCCCCTAGTTTGTTTATCAGAAGGTCATGTGAGAGTGTATAAAATGCTTTACTAACATCTAGACATACCTCATCTACCTCTACCCCTTATCCATAAGGCTTGTTAGCAAAGAAAGCTATCAGGTTAGTTTGGCGTGATTTGTTCTTTACAAATGCACACAGTTACCTATCACTTTATTACCTTGTAGAGGTTTGCAAACGGAGCCCTGATTTGCTCCTTAATTGTTTACGTATTCTATCCTCATTCCTGTCACATGTCCCTTCCAGTTGCTCATTAATGTAAACTAGCTAATTAGCCCATCATAAGATGTGATTTCTCAGGTCTCTCCTCCACTTTGGTCTTCTCTCCTGAGCCTCCGGTCTCTCACTCTGTCTCTCTCTCTCTCTCTCTCTCTCAGCTCTCCTCCGCCTTCTGCCTCTCTCTCCCTCTCTCTCTTCTCCCCCTCCTGCTTCTCACTCTCTCTCCGCTCTCCTCTGTCTCCATCAGGGATGCATGCTTGTCCAGGCCCTGCCTCCGTCCATGTATGTCACCTCCCTACCCCCCTTCGCCTCCTGCCGTGGCGCTCAGCTGACTTCTGCGCCACTCAGCCGGGCTACCGCAGGGGAGCAAGCGGCCGTTTGGGCCCTATGCTCCTCATGCAGCACGGGAGCCAGCATTTCCGCGTTACAGACTCTCAGACACTGGGCTACTATATATATGATGAGCTGGGGCTTGGGGCTGCTTATCTCCACTTAATTTAGAGGATATTTTTGGTTGTAACTTTGCAGAGAGCTCTTTCCCCACCACACTAATGCTTATTTTTCTCTAATTAGGTTTACTGTGTGAGAACATTAGCTGCCTTTTTAACCACACAGTGATGTAACAACTTGGGTTCTAACACCAGAACAGAGAGCTCCTGGAGCTTTGGACTTTAAGGTAAAACACTGCATTAGCCGCCTCTTCCCAAAGCTATTCCCTCAGAACTACTCCTTCTGCAGCCAAAAGCATGGCAACCAATTGCTGTTCCGTAGCCAGGGAACACAGCAATACAACAACGGGGGATGCCAGTTTGGAAGCAGACTTCCAGTACCATCTCTTCACCATCATTTACAGCATCGTCTTTGTATTGGGCCTGCTCGAAAACATCTTAGCTCTCTACCTTCTGACCCGCCAAGTCCAGCACACCTCGCATTCCTACCTATACCTCATCAACCTGGCCGTGGTTGATACCTTGTTTGTTTGTATGTTGCCCTTTAAAATCCATTATCATCTGAACAAGAACAATTGGATCTTTGGCGACATGGCGTGTAGGATCACCGGGACCTTGTACTATATCAACATCTACCTCAGCATTGCCTTCTTCACATGCATTTGCATGGATCGTTACATCGCAGTGCTGCACCCCTTCACCTACATCAGGATCAGAGCCACACACTACTTGATAGTGGTCACTGTCCTGTGGGTTGCTGCTGCCAGCATCATGGTCCCGCTGATCCTTGGCGGCCCCCTCCACAACATGGGCCCAGAGAACACGACGGCTTGCTTTGAGAACTTCTCGGTAGCCAGCTGGACCCATCGCATGATGCCCTACAACATCTGTGCCTTGGTGTTTGGCTTTGCCATCCCATTCGTCATCATCCTCATCAGTTACCCTCTCGTGGCCAAGCGGATTGCCCACACCAAACGCAGCATTCATAAGAGGAAGGCCTTGAGGACCATCTACATGATCCTGCTCATCTGCACCTTGTGCTTCCTCCCTTATCATCTCACTCACCTATTCCACTTCCTGGTGAGAGTCCAGCTCATCCAGAGTCACGTGTTTGCCCTTTTAATTTACAAAATGCGGCGGGTCACCTTGGCCCTGGTCAGTTTCAACTGCTGCCTAAACCCCATCCTCTACTACTACACATCTTCCAACAAGCCGTGGCGTCTTGGCCTCAAGCGGAGGACCAGAACCAAAGTTTATACCATCTGTGACAGACAAGTAAATGGCCCTTCCCCTCCTTACAAAAACAAGGCAGCAGTGAGACCAACACCACAGCAGTGGAGTGAGCTGCCTTTTCTAAAGTAAGGTCAAAAAGTTATTTATCCATAGGTTACTGGTTCAAATCCATCTGAACTTTGAAGAGTAGTCAGGAAACAGCCTGAGGTCAGAGTCCTGCTGTGTTAGATGCTATACACACATACTTTTAGGACAGGGACTGTGAATTGAATTTATAGGTAGCATCAGTCTGCTTCCTACACAACCAGAGTCTGTTACAACCCCTGCATCCCCCCCAAAAGTGTGTTAAATGGCAAGAAAGACAATTCCCTTTCTCCTACCAGTTCCAAGGCACATTAGCAGAGGTGCCGGTGTTGTGAATAGATAGGACTTCAGTTTTCCAACACCGAAGAGTGTCAAGAGTATCCGGCAATACTCCCACAGCAGTATTACTAAGCAGTACAAAAGAAATCCTGTATTTGGAAAGTGGTGCCATTGTAGGCTGATTTCCAAAGTAAACTGGGTAGCTGGCTTTCTGCTATTTAAAATAACCTTGTAGAATGAGAACAATTCCACTCCTTGTGTACAGTATGAAATATGTAATTGGCCATTATCGTTAATAAATCAAATATGAATTTTCAGAGCCTTTGCCTTTACTGAATACTCAGCTGACTCATTTCCTCTTTAGCATCCTTTTCTCAGATTTCTGAGGTATTCTTTATTTTAACCGCTATCAAGGCAGTTTGGTCAAAAATTGGGACTCAGAGGACTGTGTGCTAATCCCAGCTGCTCTGCAAGATTTTGGTACATCACTGACTGTCCATCTGTAAAACAGGAATAACTGAGCACCTCAGAGAAGTATGGGGTTCATTATTTGCTGAACAGAGAAAGCACAGTAACTAATTTTCACAATCTGTGGGGGACTTTCTTCCTCTTGATCAGCGCCACAGCTTGGGGTTCAGGGTTTTCAACTGGTGTTCAAAGAAGTGCACAAGTAGGTGGTAGTGGATAAGAACTAAGTAACTGCTTAAAAATAATGCACAATTTAATCTCTCAATTCTGCTTTGAAATTCTGATCCTGTGTTCAGTGAAGAAGCAACAAGACAGTTGAATCCTTTTTTTCACCAGCTTCCAAGGCAGCTAAGTGAATTAAAATGTTGTTCAGAGCATCTTCTTGTGAAGGGCTGAGGTATGATTTTTTTTTTTAATTAAAATAAAGTGAATGGAAGGACTTTGAAAATCTCTTACCATGGTCTGCAAGGAGCAGTGGCCAAAGCCGCTCCACGTAACTTGATGCAAACAGCTTGTGCAGTAATTGATATTTGTAATTCTAGTGGAGGCTGGCAGAATTGCTCAAGCAAAATTTTGTCTGACTAGTTTAATAGTCTCTCCTGCGGGATATTTTACAACAGACATTTATTAAAAAGAAACTTAAGTATTTACATGCTCTAGATAATGTAAAAAACAGAGAAAAGTGGAAGGAAGGCTTCTGACGTTCCATTTTCCCCATTGCTGCTTCACTCAAGTTGTAGTTGGTGGCAGTCCCTTTTTCAACAGTGATGTAAGATAGCTGCCCAGTTCTTCATCCTATACACAAAAATCAGTCAGGTGGCAATGCCCATCAACAGGCCTAAACCAAAAACCCAGACCCAAACATTAAGCATGTTTCAGAATTGCCTGGCTTGAACCCATATCTGATTGTTTGATAAATGGGCCTTCTTCCAAAAACTGCAGATTTAGCAGTAGCAAAATCTGTCCCTTCTTCCCCCAGACAACAGATGTATCTTTTCTTAAGGAGACAAGAAAGGACTACTGATTTCTGCTTTGCTCTCAGGAAGACATTTGCCTTCTAAAGAAAATTCTTTTGAAACCAACAAAACCTAGGCATTAGAGGAGAACTCTATTCATTAAATTCAACACAAGTGACTCTGCTTGGGCGAGCTTTTTGCTAGCCAGTAAGTGAGATGTTGTTCATATTAGTCACAGTTCAAATATTTCATACAACCTTCCCGCCCAAGCCTTCCCTGTGTCACCAGCACTCTGCCACTTACATCATACTGCAGATAGTCAGGATATGAGAAGTAGCCAAAAATAAACAAAATCGGGCACCGCCCTAAAATCAATGGGTATCAGTGCCCACTTCTCAGCTGCAGTGCAGCTATAGCCTATGTGGTGCCTGCCGGACTGTTCAAACAAAGCTCTTTGAGATGTAGTAACCCTTTTCATATCCTTACAATTCAACCCACAGCACAGGCCTGTTAGAGCCTAGCTAAGCCACGTCACTTTGTGAATGTCGCCTTGTGCCGTGAAGTCTACTCCTACCTGGTAGGTCCATGACACCAGCAAAACTTTGGTTCCTTGGTCCTCTGACTGTGCTGTGGCTTGGATCAGAATGGACTCCACCATGATAGATCCATCAGGGAGATGCTGAACAGAATAATCTTTCAGGATTCTAGGAAGATGCAAGGAACATTGGGCATTCTTGATCTGTCCTGTTCTGCACCTCACAACCCATCCTCCCTTTTCGTCCAAAATGATTTTGCTATACCCAGGCGAGTGTGAAGCCAATGTGCCTTCTAATTTTTTCCATCCATGTGTGGAATAAATTTCATTATGTGCACTAAGGCATATGTTTTTGTGCACCACTAAGAGAAACATATGCTGCCAGCTGTGGGTGCTCTGCTAATCAGCTGGGAAGCATTTTAATCTCTCCTGGGTGGCTGCCTGACCATATAGTTTACAGGGAACACTGCTCTGAGCCAATACCCACCAGCCAAGGAGGGCAGAACAAGATTTATTCAAAGCCTGTTTATGCCTTTTTATACCAATCATCAGAAAGCCACATGGTCCTATAGGCTTGAGTTCTGGTCCATCTGAACAGGACAGGCAAGATCCTGAAGGCTGTTCACAGTAGTGAGAGATGGCAGAACAAGGAGCAATGGTCTAAAGTTACAGTGGGGGAGGTCTAGGTTGAATATTAGGAAAAACTATTTCACTAGGAGGCTGATGAAGTACTGGGATGTGTTACCTAGGGAGGTGGTGGAATGTCCATCCCTAGAGGTTTTAAAGTCTCAGCTTGACAAAGCCCTGGCTGGGTTGATTTAGTTGGGATTGGTCCTGCCTTGGGCAGGGGGCTGGACTTGATGACCTCCTGAGGTCTCTACCAGTTCTATAATGCTATGAAGTAAAATTCTGGTTCCTACTTTTCCGCATACACCACTTCTGGGGGCTGAGTCAGCAGTCGAGGGGAGAGGAATCCTCTGTAACTTTTAGTCACTAATACTATCCCCAGTTACACAGCTGGCTTGGTACAAGGGCACCCTTGGAGGAACAGCTGTGAACACCTGTGGCATGCTTACCCTTTGAGGTGATTATAGACCCGAAGCACCATCTCGTGCTCCTTGCGAGGATCCTGAATATGGACTCGGCAGGTAAAACGCAGCTGATGCTCCCCAAGGCCCAGTTCCTTCAGTGCCTGCTCAGGAGAGACCAAGCGGAAGCTCTGCCAAGGAAAGGGAGAAATCCATTAATCACAGGTTGCCGTTCGCATGGCTCTAGACTCCTTTTTACATTTTTAGATAGCGCTCTACAGAGAGCCACAGGGCACAGACAGATTTCCTCAAAGCATGGACCACCCCTTTTTGAATGTTCCTAGCACACTGTAGATACAGATCTAGTTACATCAGGGTTTCCCAACCTATGGGTCGGGACCCAAATATGGGTCACCATGACATTTCAAAAGGGTCGCCAAGTGTCTCCCCAGGTGGCTCTGCCCTCCCTCTGTTTTTGAATTGCCTTGGGTCACTAAGTCTTCCTAAATTGTCAAAATGGGTCCCCATCTGGCAAAGGTTGGGAACCGCTGAGTTACATAATGTTTATGTCCAGCTATAGATACACATCTACCTGTTATACATTCCCAAAACTGCCTTAAAGCACAGCTGCTCTATGGAGAAAAGTTGGCACAATTCACCTGTATGACAAGAGTTATTAGACTCTAACCACCAGGCTATGGGTAAGGTCTCTTGACTTAGACCATTAGGTAGATACATCCACAATGCGGCAGCAGGAGTCGAGAGCAAGACAGCACTTCCAAAAAAGTTCTGCTTTTTGCTATGGAAGTGTCTCTGTGGATTGGTTAGTTGGATCTCCACTGTTCTCTTCCAGAGTAATGGTGCCATGCCTGTGGGTCAGTCTGGTCCCTACTGGCTGAGGGACTAGCACAATTTTCACAACTCTGGACCAATGCTCCAATTTTTTTTCACCCGTGTACAGAATAAATTTTGTTACGGGCTCAGATGCATGTGCGGATGTGCACCACCCACAGAAACACACACAGTAGTCTGGGTGTTTGGCTAATCAGCTGGGCAACACTTGAATCTCTTGTCCACAAGACAAAAATTAGAATAATCAGGGCTCGCCAAGCGGCGGCGAGCCCTGCTCGCCAGCTGCGCAGTTTCACGCGGTTCTGTGCTCTGCACATGCGTAGATCACTCTGCGCCAGCTCTTCCAGGTTGTAATCTACTCGCCATGGGCGAGTAGATTACATTATTTGTCAAGCCCTGAGAATAATTCTCCTTTTCCACTTACGTTATCCTTCATGATTAACGTGCCATGCATGAGCTTTGGCTTCTTGGAGTCTGGCACGAGACCTAGAGGGAGACCAACAGAAAAGGGCAAAGTCATTAATGGGCTTGTGCTTATCCAGCACCTTTCAAAACATAGTCCAACACTTTGGGATTAACAGACTGCACCACCTTGGTGAGAAGAGGGTCTGCACAGCCCTTCCACTGAAATGCAAGTCTATAGTCTTATGACCTGGGCAGCGACCCTTTAAAAGCAGTGTACTTAAACCGGCTAGAGACAAATCACTCAGCACCACTTACTTTCTTTTCTCAAACTTGCAGCAGACACTGCTCCCTTGCTATAGACAGACCCTGGGGGTGAGTGGGTTTAAAGCCAGGTTATTTTGTAATTCTAAAGGGGCAGAACTGTCCACTGAAGCATGTTTTTATCCATTAAGTAAGTTGACATGTAATCTTTCTGCAGGGTGCGTGAGTGATGAATAGCACGGCAGCCTCATTCTGTGTCTGACTTTATAGTATGGGTCTTAAGAAACAGTGAATATGCTATGAACGGTGGATAAATTGGAAGCCACTTCATCCTAGGGAAAGCCTGTCTCAAACAATGAACAGTGATGAAGCTCCATTATGGTGGGGGGGAGGGGGGGAGGAAATCACATAAATGTGCCCACAACGTCCCTTTCTTGCCTATCCATTCATAATTCTACCTTCAGCACTAAGAACCTAAGGCGTAATGTAACTGCAGTGCCTGAAAGTGGAAAGTCACTGTTAACTGGTTTATTACCTATCGCAGTCTCTCTCTTCAATAATCCAAGGGATATGTCCACTGGTATATTGGGGCTGGTGAACAATGTAGTGGTTTCTCCATTTGCAGGCATGTAACAGTTCACATCTGTATGAAAAGCAAATCATACTGGGAGAAATATCCATATAGAGCTTCTAATCCCAAAGGACTTTTTAAACCGGCACTATCACTGCACTCATGGCTTGAGTGGAACATGGCAGGTTTTTAACAATTTGGGACAGGGACTAAGAATATTATAGCCAATTGAAACTTGGTGTAATTCAAATAGTCGATAGTTATTCTAAAGGGAATCTTGCCAGGACATCAAAGTTAACACCCCTAATCATGTACTAAATCCATGGGAATATTAGACACAAATGGCCAAGGCCTTACTGTTTTCTTTTTACTTCTCCCATGGAAGTCAGCACAGGTTCTCACAAAGGGAACAATGCTGCTTATTGAATCACCAACACCATCTCATGCAGCAGCATGGGTTTCCACCTGCGTCTTGGAGAATTTGTGAGAACTGAAAAGATCACAGGCTGCACCAGAACTTACATCCACGATAAGAACAAGTTAATGAAATAGTCACCAGAAACTGCTTGGAAAAGGCACCCAATAAATAAGCTTTCAGAGAGTGACACACAAAGGTCTCTTTGCTGATCAGTCTCTGCCTTGCCTTAGCATCAGTTGCTTTCAAAAAAGATGTTTTATTTTTCCTCTACTCTTGTTCACTGTAACTTAAGTATTATAAACATGAAAGAACTTTTCCCCCAACAGTCTCTGCTAGTTTTAGTAGTCCAAGAGGCACATTTCCGAGAAATAAATCTCTACTTACACAAGCACACACATAATAAAAAAGTCTCCACTGCTTAGACTGCATTGCAACTGATTG